AGGAAAAAAGCTTAGGTTTGGAGAACCATATACGTGCCTCGTAAAACAAGCACTCTCCTGATAGACTCACATTCCAGATGGAAATAGAGGCCCAAAAGAGGGGAAAAATTCAGTGACCTTACTGAGCTTACTGTCGACTGTAACCCTGTGCTCTCAGGTGTGCTAAACATTATGTCCTCCTCTTTGCAGGAGCACATTAACTCAAACCCATGGTCATGCAAATAGGGTGATACAGCTTCCAGGCCAGAAATGGCATGCATAATGGGGTGGGGGGCTGGTAGAGTGAACTTGGATCTATAGGTGCAGGTTAGCCCCAGACAATGCAGCAAGAGAGAGTTTCTGGTCTTTGGCTGTCCAAAGAGGAGAGCAAATACATGGAAAGGAGATGTTGCAAATGGCTTGTAGAGATCTCTTGTATGGAAACAGCTATCAGACACCCTGAAGGTCCTGGATGAGAGGAACCAGATCAGTAACAGTCCAAGGATGGCTATGGAAAAAGAGCAGTTGTGGTGTAAGGATGGTCGAGTGAGATTAACAGATGCAGTAGAGTACTGGACAGATAACAGGGATAGCAGTGAGGAGAGATGGGTTTGACCTGCCAGGTTCAGCTGCCCAAAGTCAGAATGTTCCAGCACTGTCACTGGCAGACAGTTTTACTATGCTGAAATAAACCTTGGAGAGGGATGAAAATTTCCTGATTCCTTGTTTAGATGACTTTAAAAAAGATGGGTATATGATATCATAGATTTCTACTGCATCAAATAACATCTATCCTAAGGAGTACATGCCTTTGTTTATATATCAAATTTATATAACTAGCAAAAGTGGTACCCAGCACCCAACCAAGAAGTAGAAATGGGCAGATAAGAAATCAGCTTTCGGTATTTCACTTTCCCCCACAGCTCAGGACTTCAGATATTTTTTACAGAGTGAATTACAAAACCTGCAGTCTGATGGCATCCCTGTGAACAATATAAAAAAGCTGTATTGTGTTGTCACAGCAAGTTTTAATTTACCTAAATGCTGCATTCTTTACAAATCATCAAGTTTCTGTGATTCTATAATAATTTTACAGTAATAGTAACAGTAATAATAATACATAGGCATATCTGGCTTTTCTAAGTGAGTTTTTATGTAAGAACAATAAGATATTTGTTTGGCATTAGTATTAATACTATGTCATTTGTATTATGTTTTCACTTTTATTTTTTGAACAGCATTATTTTTTAAACAGACCACAGTTATTTCCTGTTTGTATTGTGTGCCTTTATATTTGGGAAAAAAAGTTACTTGCTCTTACTGTCCTGTCATTCAGCACCTAATGAGAGGCAGACTAACCTTGGAGATGTTAACATGCTCCTTCTGCTTAAAAGGTTAATGCAAGTAAGAATTTGAGGAGGAGTTATAAATAGAGCATAATATATGTAACAATTGCTTTTTTGTCACAAAAAAAAGGTAAGTTTGGGGAAAGTTCCACTGAGGGAGCTCCTTTTGGGAAAGAATTGGTCATATGACAAATAACCTCCCATGGGTTTAGCCTTGTATGGAAAGCAGATGGGCTGTGATAATCTTAATACAATTTCTGCACCTGAAAATATTACCAAGTCTTGTTTTTCATCTACTTCCCTTGGTGGCTTTTTAAAAGAACTGTTAGTTGATTTTGCGGCAGAGAGTATTTTAAAAGTTGACAACACTGTTTATTGTCTCTGTGCAAAGCAAGCAAAATCAATTTCTCAGAAGTATTTGAGCCCTGGAGTTGATGAACTGAGTTTCGATTATGGAAATTACAAGTTACTTACATTAGTTGTTTTAAGAAAGCATTTCTTGTATATGATTATTTTTTACATTTGTCATTCTGAGCACTGCACTGATGTCCATGCAGTGCTCCACCCTAGACTAGTAGAAACCTGGGCGAGCAGCTGTCACCTGTGTTGTTTGGAAGAGACAGCATTCTCCTTTGCAAAGCTGCATGCTAAACACTAAGAAAATATCAATTCAAAGGGGATTAATGTGATGGCCTTTACAGAGTGGTTAGGACTTTTGCTAAGGTCTAGCATTTTTTAATATGCGGAGTATTATGTTCTGCCTTCAGCCATAACATAGTAACAATATAAATTACTTACTTAGTGCAAATTGGCCTGAAAATGGGTACAAATTATGAACTAATTTATGATGCACCAATGTGGCATCGAAGGGAAGAGTGGAAGAGCATGAAGCTGTCAAAAAGACAATTATGAGACAGACAAACTACAGATTCCCTGCTACTTCTGGAGAGAGATTACTTCTCAGTAGGGTGACTCATAACTCACTGGGCATTAATAGCCCAACCCAGAGCATGTACAATAAAGCAGGCCTTTCTTGATGGCCTTTCAATTGCTTGATTTGCATTTGCTTGGTGATTTGAAATGTGTGTACAAACACTAAATATTGTTACAGTGCATGAATAAAAATTAAAACTGAAGCTTGTATACATTCACCTGTTCTCTGCTGAAAGAGAATGGCTATTTAGTAAATTGTAATTGGCTATGTCAAGTAAATGACTGCTGCCTGAAAGTTAGAGAAACCTTTTTTAGAATCACCTTTCTTTCCTGTGTCCACCACGAATCTTGCATCCTTTGCTACATAGTGAAACAACTACCAGGAAGTATTTTGAGTACCCTTTGGGTGGAAATATGTTTGAAAATAGATCTTCCACATCCCAGGCAGCATCTCCTTTCTTTCACTGCAATGTAAAGGATGGCCTGTAAATTTTAACTGTATGTGCTGTGTTTAAAAAAAAAATCAAATAGAGCTGAAACTGCTTTTTTGTTTTTACAAGTTCCTATACATCTGTGTGAACTAAGCTTTAAGAAAGCTAAGTAAATCACTTCGTAGGATTTAGGCAGGGAAAGGCCTGGCTCTTGGATCTCATTCATACCTAAGCTCAAACTTGATGTCCACAGTTAGCGAAATTAAAACTAAAGTTCCTGTGTGAACAAGAACTCATGAATTATTTAGTAAAAGGAAAGATACCTTCAGGATTAGGCAGTACCTGAGTGGGGGTGCATGCTTTTTTTTTATTATTTTATTATTTTAAATTTTAAATTTTTTATTAGATACCTTAATACCTTCCACATCCTCATTTAGCCTCTCAAGTTATTGGTTTCTTTATCATCTGATTCTGTTACTCAGCACCTTAGTTCACAAGCTGTGTTGCTGACCTCATGAGAAAAAGCAGAGCAACACTGCTGTTCTGACTCAATATTGAGGAAGTACGGACAAAAGCAGGGGAAATTTACATTAATCCCTTCAATTTCCACATAGATTCACTTCTATGTAATACACAAAAATATGTCTTGCTAAGGTAATGCACTGTAATTCTCCTTTTTTCGCTATTGTTGCAATGGTGCCATGCAATCCACTGGGTGACAAGCTGTGCAGGCCTTCCTTGGTCTGGTGAGAAAAAGTGCTGCCACACATAGATGGGCTGTTACACTGAGGCTAACCTTTTTTATTTTTTATTGCCCTTCATACAAGGCATTTAACACTGTCTAAGGACCTAGATCAATACACTCTTCTATTATTTTCCAGTACTCTCTTTTAATATGAGCGTGGAGCGCTCTACTCACAATATGATGAATGGTAAAGGACCATATACAGTTACTGTTATTGTTGTTGTTATTATTGTTGTTACTATAAATAACAATAACAGTAACTTGTTTGAAGTGGTACCCATAACTCAATAGGTCTTTTCCAAGAATGACTAAAAGGGGCAGTCCCTGACTCCATAGACCATGACACTCTAAGACAACCACAGAAGGAGGTGGCACAACAAAAAGGATGACTGCAGAAATCAGCGATTTCCATTATAGTCACCTGGGCAAATGAGCGTTTTGAGAGGGAATTTAAAAGTGAAATCAAAAGAAAATTTCTCATAAATGACATCAGAGACAGGTTTTGTATGGACTAAGGCATGGAGGTGATTTGAAGTACTGCCGGAAAGGCAGAAAGCAGTGTGAATATTAGGGCAATGATGTAAGTTTGTGAAGCCAAATGGCCAGTGCTCTGCTGGTGTTTCTTAAACCTAAGGCTTCTGAATCATTCTTTCATCTGCAGAGAGGGTAGGACAGCTCTTCTCCTTTTATACATGAGGATGCTGAAGAATCATTGCTTATCATCATGTTTGTACTTGCTGTGATAGTCCAGGTTGTCCAAAGTAGAAATCACACCTGATCACAAACAGTTCTACAGATGCTGCCTAATTTATTGAGAGACTTTATCCACAAAGATTACAGTGTTGTTAAAAGACTTTCGGTCACTTATTTGGAAACACTACTGACATGTTGCTCGTGTGACAGACAGCACTCTTTTCTCCTGGTGGGAGCATAGCATGAGTAGCCTCTCAGTATCAAGTTTAGTAAATGGATGGTCTTCTGTAAGTCTTTGGTACGATGAGTGTTCCATTCAGACCAAGATTAGAATATCACAGGGTCATTTAACATCCATCTGTTACACTTTTAACTGTCTGATTCAGTCGCACAGGTTGATTCAAAACCCCTATCCAAGCTAATGAATCAGACTTTCAGAATATGTTTATTAGCTAGATCTCACAAGTGTTTGTGACATGTCTCAACTTGAAGCTTTAAAAAAAAATAAAATACAACATTCAAAATGTATTTAATTAGTACTTATTGTCTGTAGGGCAACTGTGATAGTTTTATGAGAAAATCAAAGCAATATTCATTATGAAGGTAATTAGGAACTTCAGAATGTCCAGATTGGATTAAAAGAAAGGATATGAATGTTGTTTATTGAGTTAGAATTTGTAAGACATTTGGAAATGTCTGTTCATTAAGATTGTGAGAGTATTTGGTTGTGGAAAAGCGACATTAACATCTTTTTCCAACTCGAGCTGTCAAAAATGAGAAACGTAACACAGTAAAATCCAATGCTCAATTTCCAGCTGTGAAATGGAATGAGTAAGATATAAGTTACTGTGCTAATAAGCATGCCATTTACGCAGCTTCCACAGATGACAGTGCAGCGGAGAAGAAAGGTGGAACGCTTCATGCCGGCTTAATTGTCGGCATTCTTGTTCTGGTCCTCATTGTGGCTGCAGCCGTCCTCGTGACCATCTACATGTATCATCACCCAACATCAGCAGCTAGTCTCTTCTTTATAGAGGTAAGACAAAAGTAACATGTTGTGTCATAAGTCTTGTCATTTGGCTAGAATAATTTGAGTCTCCAGAGTAGCACTTTCTTAACTATATATGTAAAGTATTCTTGTCTTCATCATGTAAGCTTTGAAGAAGTGGGCCTACCCTTATCTAGCAGGTGATGCTGTTCTGTTCTTAGCATGTTTATCACTCAGCTGCTTCTTTAACTACTATTGCTATTACTTTTTTATTATTATTTTTACACAGGACCTAGATCTAAAATATTTATCTCAGATACAACTCCACCACCTACCCTTCATTGTCCTTACCATAGCATTTTTCCATTAGCTGTCATGTGCACTGGAACATACATTTTTTCAGTTATTTTCTGGTGGAAATGTTTGCATTCATTGATTTTCCAGAAGAGCTGACTTAAAGTAAGTTTTTAGCTGGAAACATGCGTTAGCTGTTCCATACATTCATTTGTAGAAATCTCTTAACACTCAGAATGTGGGAAAGATTCTTTTCACCTGATTTTACCATCTAAATCTAACATCATCTGCCTTTGCCTTTTTTTATTAGTGTAGAGAGGAAAAAACACTTTTACATCATGATTTATCTGACCTATTTGAGGCATCTCCTTTAGGATTAGATATAGTAACATTTTCATCCCTCAAATATAGATAGCTACCTCAGGTGCAGATATCTGCATTGCAGATGCTGACATTTAGTAAGCTCAAATCCACTGTACAGGACAATATGAGAAAGGAACTTTTTCCATACGTATTTGACTCTACAAAAAACTGTGAATACCTGCACCTACTTGTGATTTTTTTCAACTCAGCGATGTTCCTCTACTATACTATAAGTATAGTTGCTAAACATGAAAGAAAATTCTGATTGTTCATAACCCCTACCTGCAGTACTCCCTTACTTTTAAGAGCCTGGACACTTTCAAATGAGCAATAGTGAAGATGTGGAACCACTGGAAGTGTCACTAAAGATGTACCTTGCTTAGGTAAAAACCGGGACCAGGGAGATATTTACATTCATTCTTAGTGACAGCAGTGTGAATTGAAGTGAGACATGAACATGAATAGAATGATTAATCTTTAAAATCATATTATAATAAATATACTGCTTAGATGCAATAATAGTGACAGAAATCAAAATGAATTGTTTATCAGTATTCCAGGCTCAAGCAATGTAACTGTGTTAACCATCAGGGAACAACATCCTTGTAATAGAATCAATAGTTTTCTTTCATGTCTATGCGACATTTCAAGCCAGCTCTCTATTGATGTAGACAAAAACCCTCCACTAAAGTTCGTGTACAAAAGGGAAGGTCTTGTCCCTTTCTTTTTTTCGCACACAGATTGAATTGCTGTACTTTCACTCTGGTAAAAACAAGTTTCTTATCTGTTACGATGTAACTGAAAAGAGTAAGTAAATGACAACATCATTTTTTAAGGAGAGAGGATACCAAATTAAAACACACAATTATTTAATTTTTTTATCACTGTGGTAATAGCATGTTAATACATTTCATTTATTGATATCATACTCATCATGCAAACAATGGTGCCTTAATTTGTTTTGTAAAACCCATTCCACTGAATTTAATTTTTAGGTGATATTAATCAATATCTGCAGTCAAAGCTTAAATGTCTTTTAGCAAGCAATGTAGGCTTTTAGAGAAAGCAGAAAAACATAATCTTTCTGTTTAAAATAAAGGAGAATTAATTCAATAAGGACAGGAAGAAGTGAATCAGTAAAAATCAAACTTCTCCTAAATGTGGTACAAACTACATCCTCTTTTGGTTACTAGGAAAATTGTGATACTTGTGAAGAATCAGCCATTTAGCAAGAATTATAAAAAGTTCAAGCTGTGAAAGGGTGGCCTTTTCCTGTGAGTGGTAAAACCACTGCTGGGCTGTTAAAACCACAAGGGGTGGAGAAAGGGATTACTCTGTGTTTCAGAACTTTTCCACAAATTCTAAGACTTTAAAGCCATTGTTGGTAACTTAAGCATAGAAGAAAAGAATAAGTTAATAGTTTCTGGAAATGAAATAGCTTTTAAGGAGTTTAATCATTTAATTTCCAAAGGAAAATAAATAGTTTGACCAATTCAAGAAATAAAGAGGAGAATATATTATTCTTATATTCATCTGATGTTTAGGATAAATGTTTCCAATAGAGGTGAGAATGTGTCTTCTCAGGCTTGAATTTTGAAACTGAAATATGACCAAAAAAATGAGGCATAACTGGTAAAAATAGGTTACCATTATAAAAAAAGCATTCCTTATTGTGTTTGTGCATTTGAAAAGTATTTCAGTAAGCTGTTACAGGTAACGTGGTACCCCACGTACCACAGCAGACAAGCTGCATTATTTGTGGGAAGTGAATGACATGTGGATCTGATGTTACCATTTTAGGGAAGGAGGTCAAGAGGATTGCCAGGGGCTTGGTCATTGAATGAGAACAAGCATACAAACCTTTTAGAAAATAATATTGTTTTGTCTCAGTCTCTTGATTAATAAAGCAAGTTGCACAGTTAAAACGAGATGTGATGGACAGTCAGCTCTCTCATGCAGTTGTCTAAAAACTTACTAGCATTCTAGCCAAATATCAAGTGTTCTAGCCAAATTAAGGTCTGCATCCTTTTCTCTGTCATCAGTTACTACTATAAATCTAAAACTGGGCAAAATAAAAAACGAAAACCAGCTCCGTTTGTGTTTACTTTTAAAGAAGCTACGTAATAGAGGAATCATATTGACATTAAGCACAGCATTCATTCAAAACTATAACACAACTAATAGAGAAGCTCCTTTTTACATCTAAGATTCTAGGATGCTGTCGGGATTTTGTAGGTGAAGTATCATTTGCAATCAGATTCTGTTGGAGGTTTTAGGTTAAAGGCTATGTAAAGAATTTTGAGTTCATTTGGTTTATAGCCGTGACTGGTTACTGAATAAAGTATAATACACTGATCCCATATCTGAGACTTTAAGTCTCTTTTTCTCTTGTGGTCTTTGCAGGTATCACCCAATATCCACTTACCACCTCACTCACTCAAATCCCACTCATGATGCCCCTCATGTTTGTCATGTAGTCGTTTTTCTCAGTGAGCTCCCCCAGATAAGGATAAATACACCCACACTATGCACTGCTTGATGAATGCAACCCCATATGACACCTCTGAGCACGATTAAATGATACCCTGAGTGCACTAGTTTGTTTAAATAAGTGATACATAAAAGCCAAGAAAAATGCTCTTCATTCCAAAAGCAACTATTATTTTAGAACAGAGTAACATTATTCTATGATTTGTTTTGTTTTGTTTTTTTTTTTTACCCCTGAAGTCTGAAGAAAACGTTTCCTCTCATGGTTTTGTTCATAGCTGTTGAGCATAACACATGTGTGCAGCCCCACCTAGAACAAAAATAGCTGTTTTGAACAAACAGCTTGAGAAGTCTTGAATGCAAATGCTATTCAATTTGCCCATGATATTATATCATTTTAATAGAACACAATTTCAATACTTTTTCAAAAAGTTCCCCTTTTTGTTAAGTGTGCAGAAGTTTCAAATCAAAATGTAATGTTTTCCTGTTTCTTCCAGCCTCCTCACTATTCAACATGTGTTTCGTTGTTTAATTTGGACACTTCTCTGGTGACTTAAAGACAGAAGGAATTACCAACTTTTAAAGTTAAGGGAGTTTCAGTCAAAGTTCCAGTGCATGCAGGCACTTTCTAAAAGCTGAGAGTAAATGTTGACTAGACATTAACTTGCAGAGTGGCAAAATGTTGTTTGCTTTGGTCTTTTATTTATTTATGGTTATTCCTGTGGTATTTTCTTTCTCTTGAATTTTATTTTGTTGCCAATAATTTCCCCTTTTGAATTAAGTTACACATGTAGTCTTACCTGGAGGAATCTTGTGCCTCTTGAGTACACTTTGAACTTATTTGGACTGATTTTTGAAAAGTAGCATACAGGTAAAATAGTTCTCTTCATGTCTTTTTCAACAAAGCAGAAAATTATGTAGGAAACCTAGCCATAACACAATTAAAAAGTAATTAATTTTTTCACTAACCTATATAGTATACTTGCATTCAGGATTTGAGGGTTGTTGGCCACAAAGCCAAGCATGATGCCCTCATTGTAGTGTATTGCATGCCTGTGATCTAGATCATAGTGAAAGCGGTATAGATATCTGAGGCTGAATGTAAATAAAGGTAAAAAAATTTCCAGCTGAGTCAGATGGATGTCCTCAAATTTCACTGAGTTGTGGGCCAACTAGCACCTTTAGTAGTATTTTAGATTTTCCCTCTTCTCTTCTTGTTCTTCATGTTCTTTTTTTCTTATATTTTTAACTTTTATTGATTTGCATTTTTGTGCAAACTTTCGCATTGAGATCAATTAATGTCCAGGGAACATTTAGCAAGTCAAAAAGCAAGGCATAAGGCAGACTGTCTTTTCCTCAGAAGTCTTTTGGCTGTTTGCACGCAGTTTTCTGTGGACAGAAGGCTTGCACATGACACAAGACGTTGCCATGTGCATTTTTTTGTTGTTTTTCTTACCTTTCTTACTTATGTATTGGTCCAAAGCCCTTTTAATGTTTGAGACTTACCTCAGCTGTCATCCCAGTGCTCTGCCTTTGGGAAGCAAAGGCAACATGACCTGTCTAAAGCTGAGAAGACAGCAGAGGAATTGCTGGCAAATATTAAGGTTGGGAGTAAGATGTTGCGACGTCTTTTCCCAGCTGGACACAGAGATGCCATTGCCAAACATGCTTATGTAAGCCTCAACAACAGCGGAATAAAATTCTTCTGTGGCAGTTCTCTGCAGGTCAAGGTTTTTAAGGGGTCTAAATTAACATTGCAAATTGAGATCATGTTAACCTTGCAAAGAGCCTTTCTCTTGTATTCAGCCTATAGGTACAAAACCAAATGCAACTTATTAACACATGTGGAGTCTGAAGCTATAAGGATATGGGCGAATTCAGAGCCTGTGGATTTCTTAATAGTG